ATCATCCACGTATCCTAGACTTTGCAGTGCCGCACATTCCAGGAGTTCGAGTGTTAAATTTAATTCCCCGCTATAGAAAACCGTAAAATTTCGTCGCGTGGGTACTCAACGGCATTTTCAAACGGGCGTCTCGTGAATTCTAGAACATTCCAAGCGTCCGAGCGCCGAGCCTTGGTTTTGCTACGTCCTTGCGAAATCAAAACAAGTGGTCGTGCACTAACATCATGAGTGCGACGATTTTATTTTTGTGTTATTGTGACGAGTGCCAGCACATTGCTGAGCACCCAGAGACGTTGTGCTGTGCTGGTGATAATAAAGACTTCTAAATACTTTATTTTTCTCATTCACAAGCGTCGATTTTATTTCATTTCGGATAAACTGTGAGATGACAACAACCGCGCTAACACAAAGACAAAGACAACGGTAGCAACGAGCAGCTGGAGGACAGTGACACACTGGCATGAGGGAGAGAAGAAAGTAACCTCGTGCCACTCTTCTCCGATGGCAGCGTTGAGAACATCGGGCCGACTCAACGAGCTCATCTCCGCTAGAGCATCGTCGAGAATCACATACACACGCAGGCATTACCTCTACCTTCAGGAGTGATGGACACTTTGTTGGTACGAGGCACATCAACGTAGCGAAAATGGACACCACATCCGCGGCACGGGCGCAGGAGGCTGGTCACTTCAACCGTAGTCCCTTCGCATCTACACACGCCAACAGGATTTCACGGGTATCAGGGGATCTGGACCCTCGCCTACGATCCGCGGCGACTTCGCGGCATGAGGGAGAGAAGAAAGTAACCTCATGTCGAACTTCTCCGATGGCAGCGTCAAGAACATCGGGCTGACTCACAGAGCTCATCTTCGCCAAACCTCAATGAGAACTTCGCCCTCTGGAATACGCAACGTCCCATCGAACGCCGATAGGCGTCTTCACCAGGGCATTACCTCTCTGACACATCATCGAGAGGCATCACACACACCATAGCAACACACGGCGAGGGTAAACAAACACACCACTCCAAGCTCACGACCGTCTCAACACATTAGCAACCTGGAGAGCAGCCCACGCCTAGCAGAAACTAGGGTGACGCAGTCACCTCCATCATAGAATTTTTTTGAGCACAAGCTCAACCGTGATCAACGTATTAATTTTTTGTTTAATATTTCAGTTTCAAAAAACTGCGTTTTTCACTAAGAAGGGGAGTCATGTAGCGCCTCGCTACATCCACACTCACGTGTCAATACACGGACACAACAACGCGTGCAGTTGAGACGACTGGACATCAGTGACATTATCGCCCTCGGTCACTCAACTGTCTAACGTATACTTCTCACTCGCACCTATTGTAACGCGTTTCCGAATTCTCGCCTTTTGTGAATATTATCTTCAGTCTGGCGCTAACCGCCTATTACTCAGCAAGTCGACCACCTGACTTGCTTTTCACTTTTGTATATATTTCTAGACGCGATTGAATAAACGACAATTAAGACAACTAATTGTTTAGTAGTGAATTGATTAAACTTCCCGACAACACCTCAATCCCTCCCCCCCCCCTCCCCCCTGTAGGGATTGAGGAGTTGTCGGGAAGGTAACAATCCACTAACAAATGCAATTTAACTTATAATCACAAATTTATTATCCGCGTCAAATTAATACAAACGTGAAAAGAAAATAATATGATCCGATCAAATGTGCGATACAAGCTGTACTGTTAGACTGAATTATATTCGCACAGAAAGGTGTCAGCGAGACTGCCGAATATCCTTACGATTTGACGAATCAGGAAAGAATACGCGTGGCACTGAAGGTGCGAGTGAGACGGCAAATGCCTGTACTCGTCGTTAGCCAGTGTTCGCGTTTTAGGATGTAGCGAGGCGCTACATGACTCCCCTGCTTGAAGTAAAAAACGTAGTTTTTTTGAATCTGCAACAGAAAATAATTATTCTAGGAACAGGAAAATTTGTCAGGTTTGGCAAGCAGGTGAAGAACAAAAAAAATTTGAATGAGGAGACTTAGACGTGGTAGACGTGAATTGTCGGTCTGTTGGCGAATGTTACGCCTCCTCCGTCTTCCAGCAGCGGGTGCCGTGCTCGTGCTTGGCTGTGGCTGGTCCTGTTGTTGAGGCTCGTCGGGTACGTCTTGGTGCGGAGTCTGTCCTGGAAGCTGATTCATGTCCTCCGGCAGTATGTACGCTGGTTTCAGTCGGTCGATGGAGATCGGTGTGTTCTTGTAGTTTCCCAAACCTCCGGACTTGAACCAGATGACGAAATATTTGTCGTGGCGACTGATGACGCGAAATGGGCCGGTATGGTGGTCGGTATGCCATTCGCACGTGGTCGTCGCGAACGAAAACATGCGTACACGTTGATAAGTACTTGAAGATGAACGTTGAACGTATACCATGGTGTGCAGCCGGAAAAGGCGCGATTGTACGAAAATATTTGCGTAGATTTCTCACCAATTCCGGTGCTGCCGTTTATTGGTTTTCTAGCACGAGGAACTCTCGGGGTAGACGGATAGGTTCCCCATACGTTAGCCCAGCAGGGGTCATTTGAACGTCGTCCTTCCAAGCGGATCTCAACCCTAAAAGTACCAGGGAAAGTGCGTCGAACCAAGGTTCGCCGTGACATCGCAGTGCTGCTTTTAGTTGAGCATCTACCACGACGTTGTCTGGGCCCGCGACGTACCGGATGTCCGTAGAGAACTGTGCGATGTAGTCCAATCTTCGCTATTGCCGGTATTGGTATTGGTATTGTAAGGAATTTCTATGGTTCATACTGTCGAACTGCTCATTTTCAATCAAAACAATAGACGAACATTTTTTAAAAATGTCCATTTCTAAGAAGGTCGAAGTAAAAAGAATGCCCCATATATCCCCAAACTCAACTCTGAACCCTCGAGAATGTCAAATGGAACAAGAGAGCCTCGTACGGTCACCCCTTGACAGTTCTTATCTGTATCCAAAAACCCGCCCCATCCGCCCCAAACACGCCAATACTGATTTCTTAACTCTGACGGCAGGTAAGAGTTCAGAGAACACAGTAAACCTCCCCTCCCCGCCCCAGAAAAAAATAAATAATGATCAACAATAAAAATACTGGACTCTTAAATCTGACGGCAGGTAGGAGATCAGAGAACACATGTAAACCCCCCGCTCCTCCCCAGAAATAAATAAATAATAATCAACAATAAAAAAACTGAACTGTTAACTCTGGCGGCCGGTAAGAGTTCAGAGAAATATGCGAACCCTCCCGCCCCACCCCAGAAATCAATAAATAATGATTAACAATAAAAAAACTAAACTCTTAATTCTGACGGCAGGTAAGAGTTCAGAGAAAACATGTAACCCCCCCCCAGAAATAAATAAATAATGATCAACAAAGAAAAAACTGAACTCTTAACTCTGACGGCACGTAAGAGTTCAGAGAACACATGTAAACCCCCC